ACAACAATAATATAACTTATATTAATGTGATAAATGTATTTAAATTATTGATATATATATATATATATATATATATATAAAATTGTTATATTGTATAATTGTTATATTTAAAATTATTGATATATAAATATATATTAAATGTATTTAAATATAATATATATTTATATTAAAAATGAATTTTAAAATTTAGTCTCTAATTTAAAAACCCAAAAATTTGTCCTAAAAAAAATAAACTTTTTGCAACAAAATATTATTCGAAATATTAGATTTTTACTTACATGATAAATACACCGAGAAACCAAGTATGATTATTCATAGGATTTTTCTTCCATATTGAATATTCTCTGTGCACAAAGCTGACAGATATTATAACTGAAAGAAAAAAAAATAGACATTAATTAATTCATAAATATCTATTAAATAGAGTGATGTAAAAGATATTTGTCATTTTTTCAGATTGATTAAAAATGTTATTTTTTAAAAAAATAAAAAAAATTTTAGAAAGGAGGACTGGAGATAAAACTGAAAGCATAGGAAAAATAATTTCAATTAACAGAAAAAACAATTAAAAAACTTACATTGTATTACTTTGTTTTCAAGAAATAAAAAGATTTCGTAAACTAGACAAACTTTACACAACGATGTGTCAATTACCAAAGTGCAGGACTATAAGTGTGAGGGCGAAATGCTGTACGACCAGAATGACAATTGGTTTGCTACCCCAGCCTCCCCAGATCTGATCCCGCATATCAGGATAAATATACAGACACTTGGAGTTCTGTGGCACGTAAACGGGGCAAAGCGTCAGAAACGAGATGCATTGCGAGAGAATCACCGTAATCACTGTCGGCAGGAACTTGCTACCATAGCACCACAGCACGAACAATGTGACCTATTTATATAATGTATTTATTGGTATCAGTTCTGTTTTTTGATTTTGAAATGTTTAGACTAATCGATATGTACAAAATTTGTATATAAAATTTTTTATCCCAATCTTTTTTTAAATTCATATACTTCATATATTTCGGATTATATCACAGTAAAAAACAGATTACGAGAGTAGCATTCTTCTTTTTAGTATGAGTATTTATGGTTCAAATACATGAGTTTCAAAAAGATCATCGAAAAAACCGAATGATCTTTATTTATTATTGTCTGTCTCACCTCTCCATTGACTACACATTGATTCTTCCCAGTCGCGCGTTGCATTATCGTCGGATCTATCGGCGTGGCAATCATGGATGCCGACAATATGGGAATTATCAAGCAGCACAGCCAGAGTATCTGATCAATGGAAAATAGCGGTGGTAGCAGTAGAAACGCCGACAATACTTGCATGAACGAGAGCGTAATTAAACAGCACAGCCAAAATTGTATGCAGTTCCATAGATTCTTCATATAATGACGAGCCTGTATGCAAGCAAGAAAAAAAGCATGTTATATCTATCATTCTTTCATTTAACATAAAAAATACCTCCATAATGAGATGAAAAATACCTCCATAATGAGATGAAAAATACCTCCATAATGAGATGAAAAATCGCAACGGGATCTTCGCGTTTTACACTCAATGAACATGTGACAGAATTGAGCGCTCTACTCAGGTCGACGGGAGAAATCCCTTGGTTCTCCATAGTGGGCACCAACACTGGCACTTTCTGACACACTTGAGGATATAAAGGTTCCACCGCCACTCTATAATCAATTCATAAATCTTGAAAAAATTCCAATATGGAAAAAAAGACTTGATTATTTTTGTGAATTGAATCGGTGAAATTAAAAATTGTATGGATTTTTCTTGAAAAATTTAGCTCAAAATCAGATTCTTACTTTCTATAAAAAGTATAACATAAATAATATAAAATCTTGCATTTTTTTGAGGAAAAAAAACCAATTCCAGGAACTTAATCAAGGTGTCTGCTATCTGAAAAAATCTAGGAAAGTGTTCGTTGATTCTCCATATTCCTCCATATTTTATCTAAATAAAATTTTGCTAACAGTAACGCCTTTGATTCCATCGATCGATTCCAAGAAGTGGAATTACCCGGCGTCGGCCTGCATGAAGATCGGCATGTTCTCGGCGTTGGCAGAAGAGCCGAGCACGCACACTACTTCACCATAATCCTGCATGATGTGTAGCATCTCGCGGGTCACCATAGTGTTGCAGTCAGTGAATAGAGACACGAGCAAAGGGACATTATCTATCAACTCGATGTGCGGACGTATCTTCTCTATGCCTCTTGGCAATTTAGCCTGCGCGTGTAGAATAAGCAAGCATTACATAATCTTTATTACATTATCATAAACGTTTAATAGGTTTGGTCCAAAAGAAAATCTACTCTACCCTGTTTGACAAATCAAAGTTGACTGGTGCGCTTTGCTCGGTGCTATCAGTGAGGCAGCTCAAGGACCTCCAAGCCTCTTGACCCGATCCCAGATCAACACTCTGTACCAGAACGCTGTCCTCGCTTCTCACCGTGTCCTGCTCCCTGCTCGATAGTTTATTATCTTTGTATTATCGATCCTTAAATACTGTCGCGTATTTTTTTTTTAGAAATGTTATTTTAATTTAGATATCACAGCAACCTGTGGCTCATGGCGCTTTTGACCTGTGAAGTCCCCGTGTTGTTCCACTCGGTGGTTTCATCGTCGAACTTCACTGTCGAGAAATCCGTATTAATAGCACTCGGCGCCGACATGCTCATCGCTCGGCTATTGTTCAGATTGGTGCTAAAACGAAAAGTGTTTTTTCTCAGTGAGTACTTCTAATTGCTCGGCGTTAGTCATAATGACGGTAATAAAAAAACACATCAATGCTGAGAAGCTAAGAAAATGTATTAGTTCCTCGCGAAAGTCCCTTTGGACACGGCAAAGCTTCCAGTGACAAAATAAATAAAAATTTTCTCATCATGCTGTGCATTTTTCGCGATTGATTAATCATAGGACGCAAGAGATTTCGAATATTGGTTCTTTCTCATGATACTTTGATTAGCACTCCATTTAAATTTTTTCAATTCTTTTATCAAATTGCTATTAAAGCGTCCTGTGATTAATGCGTTATCCTTGTAATTTTATCTGTTTTTCTTAAAGCAAAGCGGAAGATTTTATATAATACGTCATATAATGAAGTAGTTTGCATGTAAACGGCGTAACGTACCGAGGTAAGACACGATTAAGCAAGTGGCTGGCCTCGTCCATGCAGGAGTAATTAGGCTGATGAGATTGGGCCGTGGGTGAGGGAGTGGGTGAGGACATGGCTGCTGCCTGGCTCACCCACCAACCCACTGGACTCTCGGACCTGATATTGTCATGTGTGTGTTAGTTACAATAAATTACATATGAGCGTGTATCTTCTCTGCACGAATATTTCGTATGTTCGCATGATCCTTGATTGGGCGTCGATTCGCAATCGCAATAATGAAATTGCTTCGCATTTGTTGAGAGGCACATTATTAAAAATGATTCCAAGTATTTTAGAAAAAAATATGGAGAAATAATAAAGTAAAATGTACTGTTAGTGCGATTCAATACCCTATGTGTAAATAAAGAATGATATATTAATACGCGTATTAATAAAGTATCAGGACACTGCAGCCAAATGATCGCGACATTATATTCGAGAATAGAGTGATGCGGGATATCTCGAAGGAAGGAATAGGTCTCAAATTTCGTTTTAAATTTAATTCATTTTTTGATCGTTTTTGAAAATATTCTGAATTTTCGAATTTCTCAAGAAAAATGATTTCCACTCGTATCTTTAAATATAACAAAATTTTTTATACAATACAAAAAATAGACATACAAAATCATCTATTTCTATTTCAAGTATAAATTGAATCTTGTAATATTATTCAAGATATCCTGCATGGATTAATGAACATGCAGATTAATATTAACAATAATAACAATATTAACAAAAGGCAAAAAAGACATATAACAAAGGTAAAAAAAGACGTATAGAGAAACGAACATATACGACGGGGGCATATGCGGATATCTCTTCAGCCATTGTTGCTTCCTGCAATATACATGGACATATTTTACATTCGAGCTTTATGGCAGCTCGCTCTAACAAGAATAAGAGAATTAATGCATTGTTAATATGCATGCAGCTTTCACATGTGCGTGTCTGATCTTACAATTAAATCCTTTCAATCATTTCTCTTAATAATCGTAAATACATTTTTAGATTTCTTACTTTAAATTTATTCTTTCTTTGTAAAAGAATATATCGTCTGAAAATTAAGAAATGATAAGGATTGAGAACATCGGAGATCAGAGAGCACTAATGTGAAGAAGGTCGCGGATATGCCCCATAAGAAATTGAGAGACATTGAGAGGAAAAAAACAATGATAATACATCGTATATAATTCACGATACCTGGCTCCCTCACTGAGTAATGAGATGTGGCAATTCCAGCCGCTTTCCAGTCCCATCTTCTCCGAGAAAACGCGCGAGCGTAGCTCATTTTCTTTGCTGAAATGAACGAACCTTATGCATGCTCTATCCAACTGCTCTATTAGTTGCACCTGTAATTGTAACATATATACATATATCATTGTACTTGCTATAAAATAGTGATTAATCATTATGATATCGCACCATATCAGTTTGCGCCTGATATTGCATAGTGACCATTCCGATGAAGACCTGATTGCACTGAACATCAAAACAGCTTTCGACATCACTTACGTCGTCATCTTTATTTTCATTGCATAACAAGGAATCTGGAAATAAAATTACATTTTTTATTAGTAGCAGTTAAAATATTTGCAAAATAAATAAGTACTAATAAAAGATAAACATAAAAAAGATAAAGTACATTTAAATCAAATAAATGAATAACATTCAAAGATTAAAAAATAAAAAATTTAAAAAAAATAACTGAAGGCTAATACAATTGCATTTTAAATATTTTCTTTTTATGTAACATTTTTGGAAAAATCCAAAGTTAAAGAAAAAAAAATCCATTAAATTAATGATCAGCTTAGATTAACCTGTTGAATGAAACTGCCCCAATATTCCTCGTATTCTAGGATCAAGAACATTTCTAAAATCCCATGGCAAAGGAGTCGGGCTCCTATGAGGTGTGTATAGGTGTTTGCTGTCTGCTGGCAGTTCCAGATAAATCTCGGACATTTTGTCACTGATGGCACGTGTCAGCGGTCGATAAGCGAATGCGGTGCAGTAGGAGGTCAAGCTCGTTCTTTGATAGAAATCTTGCACTTTTTTTCTACAACAAAAAAAGAAGGTAATCAGAATTATCATTTAACAATTAATTGTATTCTATCGTTATAGCAAACGTTTTAAAAAATACACAGAATAAAAAATCAAAAAATATACCTATCTGATGCGGAAAGAGGACAGAGATCGTGACCGTCCCAATATTCGATACATGAATCCAGAATTATATCAGCAGTTCCTTGCGTCAGCAATTGCAAACCACCACCGCTGCACTCTTTCACGACCACGGCGACCATGTGAGGAAACGGGAACTTTAACTTCGTCGCGATGCTCAGCGAACGCGCAAATTTTATGTCCCGCCTAACCATTTCTGGTTGCTATTAACGAAACAGTTAGTTATTTTTTCAATCGATAACTTTTGTTCGTTTTTTTAATAAAAATCATCTTCCTTTGTACAATTTGTTTTTTTAAAATGACGAATCTTCGAGAAAACAACACTGATAAAAATTTTTCTTAAGAAACCATTTAAATTTTAAGTTTTTCTTATGTCTTTGTAATCATTAGAATACATCATTTTCAAAATTTAAACAATGATTTTATTATACTTATTAATTCTAAAAAAATATTTTCCTGATATTATGCAATTATTAGTAATACATACTACATGTCTAAATGTACATAGTTGCTGTTCCAATTGAAAGATCTTCTGCGCTTGATCCTGAAAGCCAATCTGTTTTGCCAACTCGCACAGACATCTGTTGAGTAAATTTAAATTTTCCTTGAAATTTAATTTTGCGAATAAATCGCAATTAATTCGAAGAGAGCGAAAAAAGAAAAAACTAAGAATGTGCATACCGTCTATTTGTCACTGGCACCAGGTTCTCGTTATAGAGAGCTTCGCAAGTGACATGGCAACAGAACTGCATGTAGTGCTCCTGCGTTTTCATATTGCACGTGTTGAGAAGAATCGCCAGACCGAGCGGTTTCAGTGAATTCAGATGTTGTCGCCATGAGTGATCATCAAATTGCAGTCGGAACGGCAGGGCGTGATCATGAGTGAGATCCAATACCTCGGCGGTGGAGTGTGACATATCTGCAAAGCATTAGATTTTGGCCTGCACTTGACTTTCGTCATGTTTGCTGTTTGTTATGTCCCTTTTCTTACCATGCTGTACATAAGATGTTCTATTAGAATTCACCTTAGTCTCTTCAGACTCTTGATTTTTATCAGTTGTCTTGTCCACGCTGCCGGTACTGCAAAATAAATGGAACTGTAATCGCATCAATACGATTTCGTCGATCGATTTCACAAATTTAAGTTACGTTAAATTCCTTCATCTCGGGGGAGAGAGGTAAATTCACAAATTCTTGGATTTCTAGATACTCGGATTCTTATATCCCCAACTGGGTCCACGACTACAAGGTGACTACCTCGAACTCGGCGATAAAGTATTGGCGTTACGTAGGAAAAATACTTTCTCCGCCGTAGGATTAGGCCATGAGAGAATCCCCTTCTTGTCCACGCAGCATAATGCCTAAAAAAGAAAGGAAAAAATATGTACAAATCGATAATACAGACATTCTGTATTTTGTAGATTCACAATGAAAATTTGCATTTGATACTTACAGTCACAGAACCTAAAACGTGCAAAATGCTTGCCGATCGCGACATCATATGTTCGTTACCAAAAAGGATGTCAAAGAAGTAGTCCTTGAGTTCTAGCCAGTTGTACACTACATCTGGATGACTGGGACCATTGATATCCGCATCCTCAAAAGGATCTACAAACTAAATTTATACAAATTATAAATATTTTTTTCATTTTAATTATAGATGTTATAAAATCTATAAAATTTTTTAATCTATGAAATCTATATTATGCACATATTTATATTCTTATTATTCTTATATTTTTAGAACTTTAAAAAAATCTTTAGATTAAAAAAAAGAAAAATAACAATTTTTATAAATAAAATATATAAGTTTATTACACAATTATTTATTACACAATTATAATTATATATCTTTGTATTTTAAATCAAGCAGTTTTTCAATTACACCATAAAAAATTTCTTAGCAATCCTTTAAAAATGAGACATTTAAAATTCTGAAAAAGGAGATTCCCTTAATTATATTCCTTTTTTTTGTGAAATGCAAAGATGAAAATTTAAATTCTTCTAAAACTTTTTTTTTAATTAAGCGATTTTTCTAGCTGTCGAATTAGAAAAATGGAAAATCTAAAAAAATATATAAAAAATTCCCTAAAAATATCTAATTTTTTTCTATGACCAAATAGATGTGAAAAAAATAAATTCAAATGCAATGTAAAAATCTTTGTAAATAACTAATTTATAAATTAATACTGACCTGAAGTTTTTTTGCCGATAGATAGAGTTTAAATAATGCTTTAAAACGAGCCATGCCAAAGCAATTGAGAAATATCCAACAGGCGGGAAACACCAATGGCAACAGCGGAAGGCTCACGGCAATCGGTTGCAACAAGAACATCTCGCTCCAGTGACCGGTACCGAAATAGTCCGTCAAATATAAGTAACGCAGCAGATTGATTACGAGGATTACGATCACAAGTATCGGATAAGCCAAGTGCTCGATGCAACAAATCATCAATAGGTGACGTTTACGATTATAATAAGTAACCGGTCGATCGAGAGCTTGATCTAATGCCATTCGCAAGTTCACCAAGTACGGTGTTTCCTGAAGCTTGTAGATTTTACTCTTCAAAGGTACGCGGGCCTGCGGCGTAGAAAATATCTCATGGGCGCTGTGCACTGGTGGACTGTAAGTCTCTCTCGCGTGCAAAACAGGAGCTTCAGGATCCTGAAATATAAAAATTAATTTTAAACAGTTGATGAAATGAAGTTCAACAATCTTTGTATAGTTTATTTGAAGACTGAACGTGCGTGTCTGAAATCTACGATAAGATGTTGAAATAACGCACGTCGTACGGAACACAATATCCAGGAGCTTGTTGACCTGGCTTCATTACGATTATGTCGCCAGCTACTAATAAAGCCCACGGCAAGTTGACCACTTCACTATCACGATACGTCCATTGCAAGGTCAAGCAAGGGGATTGCGGACTGCATAAATGTGGGTAGTTCTCGGATTTCCATCGACATGTGGAACGTGCAACTGTAATATTAAAATATACGTTTAAATTCATAGGTCTTTCCTCACATCACAAAAAGTTTGTATAGAATTTACAGAGAATCTGCGATATTATCGTTAGACTGTATATAACTTAGTTAATTTAATTTTTTAGGTAAACTGATGATAAAAATTATAAATACAATAGTTTTTATTTAGATACATACCATTGAGCTGATCAAGGAGAATTTTCACTCTATGAGGAATTTCCTTATGTCGCAGCTTGTTATCCAATACTACTAAGATAAAATTTAATATTACTAAACAACAGACTATCAGTCCTTCGTATGGCAGTGTAGAATACCTATAACAACATTTATAATGAGACATGGATAGAAGTAAAACAGTTAGGATTTAATATAAGCTTAATATCATTGCTTAACTCACCATGTTTCATTGAGTGTAAAATACGCAACAATGAGAATAATGGCATTGATCAGCAGTGCGACCGCAGAAGTCCAGCAGAGTGTTGTATATTGACTGCGATGATGCAAAGTATCTTTCAACCAAGCTCTATATTTTCTAAATATAAACAATCATCACAATAAGTATAAATATCATGCAATATATTAATGTATTTGTTCGAAATAATCATAATTGTACAAAATACTACTTATTTCTCCTGTGATCCTCTTCATACTCCTGCAAAACACGTCTGACGTCGCGATGCAGAGTATCCAAGGCTACCGTGGTAGTCAAGCCTAGAGTCACCTTAGGTTTGGCCTCACCATTCTCATCCTTCTTTGTATCTTTGTCAGTTAATCGGTCACCCTCCATTTCCTACGATAAAGAAATAAAGAAAAATACGAAAGACGAATCAGGAAATCTGACTACAAATTGTTGAATCAGTGCAATGTCAACATATTCAGTCATTCCAAGTGACATGACACTGATGCAGTTCAATTCACTAACAATTTCACTGATAGGACAAATTATAAATTAGTAATGCGATCATTTCTGCGATGTTGCTGATATCACGAGAAATCGTAAGATGCAATCGAAGGAAGAAAAAAAACCTAACTTTAATTATAATTTCACGCACTCACTTCTCGTCAGGAAAGAATCGCCGTTCTTTCCTCCCGTGCGAGACGACACGCGAGACAGCTCCTTCAGAATTGTCCCTTGCGATTTATTGCGATGCAATAAATATCACATAATTTTCGGAGTCTGCTCGAAACTCGCAACGAACAGTACTCAAAACATATAACTCGCATCCCTCGCGATTCCGGGGTGCAATCGCGATAGAGAGAGGACTGGAAGGAGAAAAAAGGAGAAAGAGAGAGAGAGAGAGAGAGAGAGAGAGAGAAGTGAGTGAGAGAAAGAGAGAGATGAGCATGAGGAAAAGAGATAGAGGGAGAGAATAAATTTTGAATATAAACATAATAAAAATAGACTACGCGAGTCGGATCGTTGCTAATATTATGCTTTGGCAAGAGAGAAAAAGCTTCGATAGAAATGTCATTTCTCTTTAATATGAAGGTTAACGAGAGAGAAGGCGAACATACTGAAGTTTTCCTTCTTTTTCTAAAACAGGATATAACCTCAATATGATCAGAGATGCGTTCAGAAATAACCCGAGTGCACCTCGGTATCATTTTATCCTTATTTAACATTCGATGAAAAACAAGAATGAAATGATACGTTCAGTGTTTCTAATCCAACACAGTACAGTGACAAAATGTGATCACGCAATTTACGCGCGCCATGTTTTTGACTTGAAATGAAATTTAACATGAACAAAAAAAAAAAAATAAAAATATAACTATTATCTTATCGATAAAGTATGTACTGTTGAAGACCTATTGCTGACCAGTCTACATTTGCATAACTATACAGTAATTGATAATTTTGTTATTATTTTTAATTATTACTAATTATATCAATAAATTGAAATAAAATGATACTGATTCATCTAAGATTTATCTAAGAAAGCAAAAGTTGTATTTATATTTTAGTAAATATTTTTTTAAATATTAATAAATATAATATGTACATAATACAAATGTATAAGTGTATACATATATCAATGTAGTATAAATATATTGAAGATGTTTTTTTTCTTCTTTTTTCATCGCTGAAAGAATCCCACGAATATCAATAAGTACTGATACAGCAGGATAATATCAACATAAATCTGCGTAGCTGCGAAAACGACCTCATCGGGATTCAATTCTATTCTGCGTCCACCCATAATCGTTTGCACGTCGAAGTACAAATACTGAAAATGCATAATATCAATTTTCAATCTTTTTTATCTATTCAATCGAATCATCTATCTTAAAAAATTAATCAAAAATTTAATTCTATTTCGAAATTGACGCCCAGGAATATAATTAATCCTCAATATGTCTTACTCATTTCTATTTTATCTATTTTATTTTATTATATTTATTATATTTATCTATTAAGATTTTAATGATTGCCGAATGAAATACGTGACGTTACATATTAATATTAAGAAGTATAAAATAAAACATTTGTAGTTAAATTAATTTAAAAATAACATTATAGCTTTTTTAAATGTAAAAATTTAGCAATCTCTTTCAAAGAAAATTAAATTGAAATGTAATTGCTGCTAAATTGTAATTTTTATAAAAATAAATTATACATCTTATTGGATATTGACCATGCAGAGCAGGAGCGTTCCAATGATAGCAATTACCAGACGTAAAACCATTATATGAGTAAACAACAAGACTATTAGCACCACAAAAATAGAGACGATCGCAACAAGCCCAACCACCATCACCAAGCCCGGCCTCATCGTTAAATCAAACTGCAATGTCATAGTAATAAATTTTTGTAATCTATGCAATTTATATTGATTTGTATTTAATATTTATATCGATATGTATTGAATATATGAAAGTAAAACGGATATATTAAATTAAAAATATATTAAATTATACTAAATTAGAAAAAAATTCGAATATATAGAATAAAGAAATGGGGCAGAATTACCCTGGAGAATGTTGCAACAAGAGCTATGATCGTCGTGACGATGGCGGTCATTCCCATGACTATGAGAATCACTTCGATGCTATAAAGCACAGAGATGAAAGCGGCCAAGTATGACATTGCCAGTGTCTGCGACGCAACATCCAAAAAAGAAATTTAACTGGATTAATTCTAATTTGAATTCTAATGTGAATTCCATGAGGAAAAGGAAACATTGAAAAATCTTACCAGCAAGATCAGACAGATATAATTATATGGAGGAGTTCGCCTGGCATGTACCGAACAAGCTATAGCGCAATAAGCGACTATGAAAAACACTCTGATAAAATGCAAATATTTTAATTAGACTAATGTATGATCAATTAAATAATAAACAAGTCCTTAGGATTTTATTAAATGAAAAGATATAAATATGAATAGTATTAATAGTATAATGATGTCCAGATGAATATTAGTATTGTTCAATTATACATTGTGTTATTACAATGTCATTAATAGTAAAAATATTATTCATCTGATCTGTTCATCCTCTCATTCCTTTTCATTTAATATAATCCTAATAAAATTAACGAGAAGAAATCATTTTTATTCAAGCGATCCATCTTACATGGCAACAATCCACAGGTACCAGTGTATTATCATAAACTTTTGCGCTTCATCACTAGAAAGTAATTCAGAAGATTTATGGTAATTTTTTAAAACGTAAAATAAGAATTTAAAAAATGCAGAAATCATCGAGAGATACAATTTCTCTTCTGCGCGTACTCACACGAACATAAAGATGGATATAACGAAGAAAGTGAACATCAACTGCAGTGTGAGAATGCAGAAAACTTTGCGGACAAAGCTTCTCCTCACAAGAATGTCCTTGAAGTCGCCTATGTAATCGTTGGCATTTTCCTGTGGCAGCATATTCCTTCTGCGTTGCTCTCGTACCCAGGCTCTATATAATTCCAAATTCTCTCTTTCTCGGTGTGCTACCATCTCATCAGTTACCGTGATGGTGTACGGTCCCTGAAATTGAAAATAATTAAAATCAAAATAGAAGCCTTTAAAACCTTTTTGATTATGCTATTATACCAAATAATTTTTCATTATAAAATCCCTAATACATATATATCTCTCTTACAAGAAAGTAATCATCAAAGAAATCCCAATTCACCGATATGAGAGAAATAGAAAGAGATATAGAATATATATATATATA